TAAAAAATCAAAAGAAAACCCAATATTCCATGTTTTGAGCCACATTTCATGAGAATTTGTCCATGATTTATGAAAATAAATGACACTTCATAATCATATAGGGGTATGTTCGTGATTTCACTGGGAAATGTTATCGTCTGTGGAAACTTATAGAACATTTCTTTGGATCACAATAACTTCGCAACTAACAAAGGTAGGATGCTAGTTTTACCTACACCAACAGTTAGTGGGGGGCCTCTTGTGGAAGGAAGTTGCCCCCTGTGACCAGAAATCTAAGAAGCCCTTCATCAAATATCTTTAAAAAATCAAAAGAAAACCCAATATTCCATGTTTTGAGCCACATTTCATGAGAATTTGTCCATGATTTATGAAAATAAATGACACTTCATAATCATATAGGGGTATGTTCGTGATTTCACTGGGAAATGTTATCGTCTGTGGAAACTTATAGAACATTTCTTTGGATCACAATAACTTCGCAACTAACAAAGGTAGGATGCTAGTTTTAACTTTTAAGCCATAATGTGCGGGATTCAAAATTGAACAAAATCAGAAAATATTAATTCTTTAAGACTGCAGCTTTAAAATGTAGCTGGGAAGGGTGTTAAAGGGTTGAAGAATCGCGGATATTGAGAATCACATTCTATCCATTTTCAGTAATATTTGGTTAGTGCTTTTAATTTCTGCAAATTTCAAGACTAAGAGAATTCTATGGTACCAACATGAATTTTAGACCTTCCTCTACAACATGTGAAAATGTAAAAGAATTCCTGCAAGTAAAAAGGGAAATATGGCCTGTTGCAGGGGTTCACTTTTTTGGACCACTCTGTATATTCTCAACTACAGTACTTTCCACTCAATGAGCATTATCTATTTGAGGACCAATAGTGTATTTGCAGTCCTTTAGAGAATTTTGTTCATAATGATCGTCAGCGTCTGCTGAAATGTCCCCGTTGCATAGATACCAGAGCTTTGAACCAATTTTGAACAATTATGCAACGATCTTGATTCACAGGGTTTCAGTCAGTCATTTGGTCTAACCCGGTGGTACCATCCTTGGTCCAAGGGTATTTCACTTCTTTCATCCTTGGTCCAAGGGTATTTCACTTCTTTCATCCTTGGTCCAAGGGTATTTCACTTCTTTCATCCTTGGTCCAAGGGTATTTCACTTCTTTCATCCTTGGTCCAAGGGTATTTCACTTCTTTCATCCTTGGTCCAAGGGTATTTCACTTCATAAATGAAGTCCTTTGAAGAAGGATGCGGTGGTAGTTAAAGACCCGGGTTAAAGATAATAAGTGGCCAATATACTAATCCAGTACCAGTTCTCGGAAGTATATTTGATTAAGTGTCACGTAAAATACTACCTGGAGAAGACTCCATTTCTGACTAAAGTGGTCATATTAAATGTGCTTTACATAAAGGTAAAGGACTGGTATCGATATGGTGAACTGAATTCAACAATGTTTTTCTCTTATTGAAAACATTCTGTAAAAACACGGTCCTTTATGTAATGCTGGCTGATTGACAACAATTTAATGCGAAAATAATTTATATAGATTTTATATAACTGTTTTTGTTAACATTTTTTGTTTTATAGTGCAATTGTTTGTTATTTCGTTTTACCAATTGTTCAGAATAAAATATCTTTCCGAAGATTGTTGGAACAAAATTGCATATACAACTTAGACCTCTCAATATTATAGTTATACTTAGTTATACAAAGGAAATTTTGGTTGATTTAAGAAAAAGTATTCAAAAATTTAAAACAAAAACCCCCAAAATAGATAAAAATTAAGATAAACCTTTTATTTCAAGAACAAGATTTTTTCTAAATCAACCAAACTTTCCTTTGTACAATTACAATATTGAGAGACTTATACACGTTGTGTTTATGTCATTTTGTTGCAATGAGGTTCGGATAGATGTTTCATTTCATTTCGAACGTATGATACCAAGAACAAAAGAAGTGTCTGGTGTATTTTCTTAAATAATATAGAGAAAGGTATGTAATTTATTTCAAATTATATTGCTACCATTCAAAAGACGACCATTAAATTGATAATGTGTAAAATTTTCAGAATTGTTTGATGACTGGTTTAAGAGAAACGTGTGTTCACCATATCGATACCCATCCTTTAACATGATATATTTTATGAAAGAAAATGCGAATGTAAATGAACGCCTCAGGCCATGCCATTGAGAGGCACTAAATATAGCTTATCGATCTAAATGTGTGATGACTGATAGAACAATCTGGGCATGGTACATGATCCCAGTGAGAAAGCAGCCATCAGTAGCCAAAGGCGTGACTCTATACATCATAATCACATCAATCCATTCAGTTAAATTGCAAAGTCTATCCTTATCTTCTCAAACTAGTGTGATCAATTTTGAACAATAAACCTCCGTATGCTAGTTGTAACTACAGAACACACAAAACAAAGGGGCTGTACCAAACTAAGCGAGACAGTTGAACGCGGGGTGAGGTACAACACGAGGGTGGTGAAATTTGAACAAACTGATGTTTACATTGTTTCAGAAGGTCTAGTTTCTAGATATTTTTATATGCAAATGTCTGTAACAATATCCTTGACAGTGAACTTTACAGTGAATTTCAATTTCATCACCCTCGTGTTGTTCCTTACCCCGCACGTTCAGCTGTAACGCTCAATTGGTACACACCCTTGACGAATTCACCTGATATATATTTCAAAATGAATGTAATACTTTAAGTATTACATTTGTGGTTTATATTCTAGTATCTTGTTGATCTATATTCAATATAGTCAATATTGGCTTTTGAAGTACAGATTAGTCTTTTTTGTCTGTCAAAATCCATCTGCATCTTAAGCATCCTTACATCTTATCCAAATATATTATTAATTAATTAGAATAATCTTTAGATTTAAAAAGTTGTATAACATCAGGGGCGGATCTGGGAACCAACAAGGGGGGAGGGGGCAAATTTCAGGGCAGAGAAAAAAACTTCCGCACTTGCGCAGAACAATTTTTAGGCCCCTAAAACCGAAAAGTGGGCCCAAATTTTGAAATTTTGAGGCCCATTACTTTAAAATTTGGCCTGAAGTTAGAAAATAAGGCCTTACACGGCCCATTATTGACCAAAAAGGCCTTATTTTGCCCAATATTTTTGGGCCCAATTTTCTTTTTCTTTGCCCACCCAAAGGGGGGGGGGGGCGATCCGCCAGTGAACATTAGATGAGTATAAAAGTTGTTTTTGGAGCATTTTCCTATAACCATTGTGTAGGAAAAATATAACAATGATGTATATTCCTTTAATTTAAAGTATGACCTGAAATTGACGGCAAACTTCATATGTACACATCTGATGGGATATACCATTTGTGTCATATTGTAAAATCATTTAGTTTGAGGCCTGTTCATATTTTTGGTAATTTTTGATAATCAATGGAAACGAATAGTACATCGCTGATAATACAAGATTTTACATATACTCAAAAGGCCATTGTTCTTCTGAGATGAGAATTGTATGATAACCACACGATGGAAATATGTTTTGTCGATGGTGCATATCCCATTTATGTGACATTGTTTCTTCATTTTACAGATCAGTCTAACCGTGGAGATATTTGCCCAATATTGCAACCCATCCATTACATTTCTGTTGAAAACTAAATAATACAGTAAAGGTGAATTCATAAGATTCTAGTTAAATGGAATGAATATAGACGTTATTTCAAGTATGACTTTGTGAAGTTTCATGTATCATAATGAAGCGAATGGGATATGCCCAGGAGAACTATGTAAATCTAAAACGTATAAAAAGCAAGCGTCAATATGTGCAGTGATATTTGGTCTTAATCATTGATTAGACTCTCCGGGGGACGACCCTTTAAAAGCGACATGTCCCTAGATTAGAAGTGGATATCTGGTTTGACGTTGACATTCCGTTTGACGTACTGTAATACCATGAGACAATTCACTACATCAGGGTAATGACACCTAGACGAGAGAATATAGAATATTGCCTCGAGTAATATGAAGCAAAAATAGTATGTATAACTCTCTGAAGTCTAAGTACTGCCAGTAGCTGATTAAGTTACTTCTTTTAGTTTGAGTCTATTCGGAAGTTAATTTTTTACATAATTGGAATCCAAAGCGTGCATCATGTTTGCATAATCAAAATAGAAATTCCATTGTGGTGATGAAAATCCACTATATTTTTATTTTCATGGCGTATGTGACATTGTATTACTTAAAAGAGGGGAGAAGTGTAACAGTCGATGTGCTGATTATTATTGCACAATTCAATTCATCGTAAACGCCTAATAGCGAGTCTTATTAACCCTTTGTACCTAGTACGTAAGTCGGACTAACTAGGTCTAACATATGCATACGACTCATTAGTTGACCGAATGAGCTAAATAAATTAGATTAATGAACACAAGTCATTCATATTAACACAGACGTGGTGTACAAGTACGGAAATAAATAATTATAGATCGGACACGAGTACAATTTATCAATAAGAAATAAACAACGTCGGTTGTTTTAAAGGGAATCACACATGGATCAGGAAACCCTTTCTACAGAAATATCATGATTTTGTGATTAATTCGATATAGAAAACGGTGATAGTATTTTTATGATATTGATCTCAAATAGACATGCATCGATAGAGAAAATGTTATTGTAATCTTGGGACAAAACGAAACTCTTGCAGTAAAACATAGCAGTCTATGGCTTTCCTGGATGATGAACTCGAAATTAATCTATGTTTACTTAAAATACTAGTTTTCATAACCGTGATCTGTTGCTCTAGAATGGATTCAGTATGATCCCCTCCTTTTGGTCCATCGCTTAAAACAACAACTCTGTTAAAACATGCATATATCATACTTACAGCTGTTGCAATCATGCGTAGCTGGCAAATATGACTTCAATACGGTTTTCGGTAGAACATCGGCATTTATAGTCTTAATTTTCCCAAATGTGACTGCATCAATTGGTAAAAATCTCAAGAGAACAATTGCCATGATTAAGGGGAACAGTCGTCCTTTAAAGTGGCCAATAAAGGTCAATGGATGAATCTGAAGTTGCTCTTACAATGTATTTATTATCAAATCACTACATCAATCAGAGAATACTTTAACCTTGCGAGAAGCTACGTGTCACTCATAAATAGACGTGGAAATCCTGCGTATATTATATTGGCCAACAATGAACACTACGTCATTGTGCACGAGGACAACTGTGCCAAGGGAAATCTATAGAAGACAGTCTCTATAGAGAAAATTATCATGTAGATGGTTTATTACTAAGTTGGCCTTTGAGAGCTCATCTTGCAACCACTATGCTGTTATAGATAATAGCGTTGGGCGATATTGAATCACAAGGACATTTACCCTGCTCTGATTTGGATCATCTATATTCAGTGGCATTACATCGTTTTTTATTCAGCGTGAAATTGATTACAACCACTCGAGGTAGGTGCTGTCTTATAACAAGTTACTATGTATTAATCTCAATAAATGAAATGTACTGGTCTCAATATATTTTATACCTGTTACATGAGTCACTAAAATATTCAAACTTGGTTAATTTTATCAATAAATGATGAAATGGATTAATTGAACGACATTGAACTGTGATGAAGACTATATAGGTATACAATTATTTTCATTATCGGAGTAAAAGTGGGCTCATTGGTATCAAAGAAAATAAATATATTACAGTTGTGTTCGAGGACAGATATACCTAACGTGGGGGAAGTGTTGCGGCTATAACACACACAATAATAGCTTGCGATTACTACATTGACGCATGTTAATAATAAAGTATCCTAGATATCATAATGAATAAAAAAGCTTTGTATACATGTAAAATCAATAGAACCCGAATGTATTGTAACCCATAGAAAGGTAAATTATTCATCAGCCTCTGAGTATCAATGTAAAGGTGGTATAGGGACTCTACATGAATTACATGTCGAAATGACAGACTACTGTGCATACTTTTTTGTATACTTTGTTATTACTCATCTGTGCAATCTGGTGATATTGTTTGCTGTATAGTAAAGCACTATGGCTCGAGTATTATATCATTCAAATGATGCTATGAGATCGATTTCACATATGACATCAAGTCCAACCATCAGCAACCGACATCGAAATAAGGTGCCTACTTAACAGAGATAATTATGTTATTTTGTTTTTTAACGCGAGTAATTGCTCAAAAATGTCTAAACAATTTAGCTTTATTTCAAAATAAATCTTATTGTAGACCTAAATACGATTGGTTTACACCTTTTAATCAAACCACAAAATATTTGGTAATTAAAAACATGACAACATACTTCTGCACAAATCGTGATCAAGTCAAAGTGAATCCAAAAAGGGTCATGCCGCATGTGTGTATACAGAAACATTACCCCGTAATATCATATACCATCCAATCTTGTCGAATTCCCCAAGGGGCCATTAATGATCACTTAAAGTGAAAGAGAAAACAACATCTGTAATAGTAAATGAATATAGGCAAATCTTATCTTTGAATAATTAACCAACATACGTTATCAGTATTAAAACATATATATTTATCTTCTATATCTGATACGCTTGAAAAGGTCTAAGACTACGACTGATGTCCTCCAATAACTTGTTAAGCTCTTATAGAAAGCAAAATAAAAACGACCTCCTACATTTATACGGATCTTCAGACAGTTTGAGGCTTCTATCTCAATGTAAATCAATCAATTTGATGGTAAAAGCTGTCACCATGGTTTTAATAATTCAACTAGGGAGAATATTAACCAAGATATCTCATAGAAAGTGAGATATGAGCTACAGCTTGCGGAGGTTAGCCATTTATTTATATTACTCTGTGTAGTATACGCTAAAACATTCACTCGCAATACATCAAGCTTGTTTCATAATTCACCAATGCAGATATTCTTTGTTCATTGATCAGTTTGTTAAGTTGGATTAAATTGGCTTTATCCTTTTTGTAATTGTTTGATTATTTGAATATGAGTATTGACCAGTTGCTGATCACTCCACGGTTCCATTAGATGTAGAAGTGTAAGATGAAGTTGTCGTTTTAAGTCAGAAAGAAGTCGAAAACATCAAAGGTATTAATATTTGGATGATTTATTCATGAAGTCTCAGAGCGAATAGTCATGCAACTATATAACAATTAACTGAGATCGATAATAGAGATGTGTAGTTTGGATTGACATACCATAATGTATTGTAGGCATACTTTGACAGTCAAATCACAGTTACTGATAATTTCGAAGTCAATATAGTTCCCGTATTTTAGAACTCATCCACAAGAAAGAAGGTATACTGGATGTCAGAATCCTAATGGATACCTTTAATGTATAAAAAAGTGATATCGTCGACATTATTCAAATGTACCTGGCATTGCCCCCGGGGTATCGCGATAGCCGCGCCCCTTTGTCTTTATCCTTCCGAACAGCAGATAAAAAGAGCTCTGATGCACCAGAATCCCCCGGGGTATTGCAAGGTAGAAACAACAACCAGTAAGATTGTCAACCTTTACTATTGAATTGGGAAAATGACTGAAAGATATTTTTCTTAATATTCGGTTGGAGAATATGAGTATTGTGAGTTGATTAGTGTCATTGTCCTGTCTTGTCTCTGTTCAACAATTCTCGTTCACTCTTCGTCGATATTCAGTCCTTGAAAAATAAGTGGGTGGAGTTCCAAATTGTATAAGCGAAGCACGATCAATTGAATTGATCACTAAATGATTTACTACCAAGGCTATACCAAATGGCTGTATATAATATAAAATATACTGGTGGCCAGGAGCTGGATATGGCAGGATATAGAATACATATTTTGGCCATATCCAGTATATGTTTTATTATGCACCTTCTCATGCTCTATCAAGCCTTTAAAGTGTACTTCTTACAATTTCGATATTTCCCAACAATGAAAACGTCGAAATGTCGTTATTTTCTGAAATTAAAACCGACTATAAATTCAAAATAAACAGTTCAAAAGATTCGAACCAATATCTCGGTCATTTCTTGTGAGTTTTGGAATTTTGCGTCAGTAAATAAGACCAAAGTTCATGATTCAAATGTTGAAGTGAACAAAATGGTGGCTGTTTGAATTCGAATTTTGCCCATATATGGGACAGAATATCGATGTTGCACTCTGGGAGCCAATCTTTCTTGACCACAGGTACTATTTTTGAGTCTCTTGCGTATTCATGTGAAAATTAATTTGATTGGTTCGGTAAACAACAATATGCAAATGTATTTCTTATATTTCCCCTTGCAATCAAATATGAAGAGTCCCATGTGGCACTTGGATAACTAGATTTTGATATATGAGTCCCTGGAAACCATTTAAGATGATATTTTATGATATTGAAATAAATATCATTTTTATGGATTAATACTAGAATTGTGTGGATGAAGTTTTAGTCGATTGATGCTAGTTAATGCACTAGAATAGTGGTTGCACTGTCGCAGACCACCAGGTTTTGTAGCCTAAACACGAAGACGTTTTCTATAAAGTCGTCAAATGGTTTTACTGAATTGGATTGGATCCGACAAATTAACTTATGCCCATTTAATGTTAGTCCAATGGAAATTTTACGGTCCGGATGTAACTCACAATTTATCACATAATAATTCTTGGTTTGACTGGTCTGAAATATTTTCTAAATCTAAAGTGATGGAAGCGTGTACGATCTAAGGTAGTTCCGAATGTTCAGAAATGTTAATGGCCCCATATTATTTTCATTTTACTCATTTTTAGTATTTGCACAAAGATTGAATAAACGTACTTTAGATTATTAGATGACGGTTAATAAATATTCAGGATTATGTCAAAAGGGAGAAAAAAATATGACCACATACTATTAAAAAGAGGTCATTTCATTTAGAAGAAAATTATTTACCCTCAACTTATTATCTTGGTATATGTGCATACTCTTTGTATTAAACTGAAAGATGTAGACCATTTAGGAATGAGTTAGGTGTTCCAGTGTGAGTCCAATTTAGGAAGTCATTGAATTTTTATTTATGTGCATACGTCATCATAAGTTGAGCGAAATCTCTATAATATTCGGAAATTCAAATTCTTTCTCCTATCGCCAAATACTAGGGCATATATTTCAACTGACAAGATTCCGTTAATGACAAGGTTTGTTTTACCTACTCTCAGTTGTGAAACTAAACTTTTGATTTAAAATCTTTTATTGAGTACAAAACCATAAGTCATCAATGAAACAGTTCAAGTATAAAATTTCCCAATTCTCTTTGGGACTAAAATGCAACAATGGAAAAGACCAAACTGGAATTGGTAATCTAAAGCACCAAATAGACTGGAAATCTAAAGCAAGATTAGGCTTAATCCACTTTGAAAGAATACATCTGCTATGTTAGTATTGACATGAAGTCCCTGTTGTTATGGATGAATAAGAAACACAAAAGACAACATTTTGAAAACAACGTCGTAAAACGGGCTCAATCTGGTTGTGGTCGGAAAATATGTCTAAAATAATTAGCTACTTTGTTCATAAACAGTCTTCAATACGTCCATCTCCTTCGCAGTTCGTTCAGGTCGCACCACGTCGATGTGCAACGTCGTATCACGCGTCCCTTAGTCTTGAAGGTTATCATGACCTGATTACAGAACGGTATGGTCGCCATCGAATTTTGAATGGATTCAAAATTCTAAATCACATTCCCCGTCCGGGAAAGTCCATGAAGTTCGTAAACAGACCGTAGAACGTTGTAGCTACGTTCATTCCGTTCGCACACAGTTTAAACCCAGTTTTGAAGAACGCAGTGGCAACTTGCTTGGTACATGGTGTGATAGCTATATTTTTGCTAACTCGTTGATATATACGTTCTTACTCGCAGTTTTACCCGTTTGCAATTGGTTCTATTTCGTTCTCAATACGTCCTCAGACAGTTCAACTCGTTGTAAAAACGTCCCTAGTAGGATTGAAGTACGACGGTTGCGTTCGTAGTACGTCCAGCTCGTCGTTAGTATGTTGTCACAATAATTCTAAGTTCAAAGAGGACCTACCCGTTCGAGTACGTTCGATGAAGTTTGTAAATAGACCCCAAACAGTTCTAAGTACGTCCAGTCCGTTCGTATACACAGTTGAAGCCCGTTTTCGAGAACGTAGTGAGAACTAGTTTGGTGTGATAGTAGGGTTTGACAAAGAGAGACTCGGATGAATCTGAATGTGTGCGTTGCGTTACTGTGCATACACATTTCTATGTTACTTAGCCAGCATGTTAAATAATTCCATTCGGCGTATCGAGGCCACACAACTGTTGACATTTAGAAAAGAGACAGAAGCTGGAGATGGATGCCCTGATTCTCTAATTCCACCGCTATAAGCTCAAGAAATTAGATTATCCTTTAGCAATTGCATTTAATCTAGTTAATTTAAGTGAAGTTAAGCAGTAACAATGATTAAAGACCTTGACAGT